CCATACACCCGAAAAAATATTGTTTTTTTTCTTCCTGAGCGTTTTGGATCATCTCGCAAAAACGCTCAGGTATGTACGGGCCCTAAGACATGCTTCTCTCATGTCAAGGGCAAGAATAGCAATGGGAATTTCCAATAAAATTGACTGACAACAACCTAGAGAGTGGTTCCATGTACACTGCAGCTGTTAAACTCACGTTTAGGAGCTTTTCTGCGTTTTTTTCAGCAGCCCCTGAACTCTCCCTAATGTTTTCCTATGTGTCCATGTACACTATGTTGTTTACAGTCGTTTACAGCTTGTTAAGTTTACAGTTGTTTTTTTTTAACACACCAAACTTGTGTTCAGGAGTAGATTTTATCAGCATTTCAAACTTTTGTAAACGCAGCTAACCGCGTTTATAAGCGTTTGCATTTGGAAAAATTTTTTAACTCTTCCATTTCCAGATGCTGTTCAGAGCCTTTTTTCATCGTGAAAAATGCATGCAAAGCGTTTTCCCGGTACTCAAATGGACCTGGTACACCATACTTTGAGGTTTTAAATGAAAGAAAATATGTTAGACACTGCTGCAATAATTTCTACACAGAAATGAGCTGGAACACATCCAAACACCACAAAAAAAAAAAAAAAAAAAAAAAGCTAATCTCAATTAAAATTAATACTGCTCTCTATTTCTCTCAAAATGGTTATTTTTTTACTGTTTTTCAGTGCATTCTGGGCATTTTGGAATGTCTCCTGAGGTTATCTTTAAAAAACGCTTTTAAACATAAACGCGGGATGCAAACGTGGCTAAACAGACGTTTTTTAACCCACGTTTTCCAGCAGTCAGTTTCCATCGTTCAGAAGTGTCCCATGTACATTAGAGCAATGGTTTGCTCTTACCACATCATTTTTCCAAAAGTGAAGTAGAACTCTTATTGGGTAAACACCATAATTTCATCATAGCATCATATATTAAAGCCAAATGAAAGAGATCTCAAATGGTTCTCTCCATCTCCAACTTCCGGTCAGAATAGGAGTGAGTAGGAGGTGATACTCCTGGGCACCAGGAATGTAAGAGGCCACAAGGTTATTTTACTGGTTCACAGAGAACTAATCAGACAACACAGCAGATATTTGTCAGTATTCAGAATTTTCCTTAGCCAAGTTGAATTTTGCTTCAGGCACACCAAATCACTCTTTGAAAGATATCAAGAAAGTTAAATTAAAGCTTAAAGTTATATAAGATTTCGGACTGAAAGCTAAAAAAGTGATGCAAAGGTTGAAAATAGAAGTCCAATAAATATCACCTGTATCATAGTCAGGGGCTGGTCATCTCCATCATCTTTAGGATTGTGTTCCCACCTGTCAATTTCTGTTAAAACAACACATCCAGGTTTACAGAGAGAACATTGGTGGTCACTGCAAAAAATAGGAAGAGATTGCAACAAACTGGATTCCATAGCAAACCAATCAACATAATTGGATGCTATGGATTAGTCTATTATAAATCTTATTAAATCATTAAAGAATGGATGCATAGTGTGCAAAATAGCAGGAACAATAATAATTGTAATTTGAAATGAGCATTTAGTGAATTCACAAAATCATGCAACATAATTATTTGGTTACAAATGTATACCTTTAGCATCCACTGATATGTCGGTGTCTTCATTATTTCTAGTTGTATGCGGTCTAATAGCTGCTATAGGGGCAACTGGTTTGGGGGCACCTGGAAAAGAAGAATGCTGCATAAATGACAGCACAGCTGTTCTAGCAATGGGGTTGATTTACTAAAGCTTGAGAGTGCAAAATCTGGTGCCGCTCTGCATAGAAACCAGTCAACTTCTATTTTTTTTTTTTGTCAAAGTTTAATTAAACAAGCTGAAGTTAGAAGCTGATTACCTACCATGCACAGCTGCACCAGAGTTTGCACTCTCCAGTTTTAGTAAATCAACCCTAATGACTAAATTGTACTGAAGGTGGCGCCATCACATAACAGACAACAAGGAAAGATTGTAAATGTAATAAATTAACAAGGCACTACTGACCACAAATACAGAATTATTACTAATAGGCCCAGAACTACTCCAAAGATATGGTGTAAATTTGAGATGGGTGCCAAATCCAATGCATACATGTAATCACAAAAGATAGAAAAGGTATAACAGCGCGTCACCTTAAAATCAACACATTATTGTCCCAAAAAATGTCATTTTTAATGCACAGAACTTGCCATAAAAAATTACTGAGTGGACATAAATAAAACTGACTTCTAAATTCAATGTTACAGACTTTTGTGGTTTTTATATGGTTCCTGTTCAAAACACAGGCAAACCAGATTTATGGAAAGGAACCCAGAGGGAACTATGAATGGCTACAGATGTTTAAAATAAATAAAGCTGCCCTTTCCTTTAAAATAGAAATATAAAGCAGCACACGTAAAGCCACATTAAACCCAAAGTTAAAATTTTTTTCTGTATTGCATAGATGTGATGGCTGCATTCATTTTCTTTTTTCAGACTTTTTGCCTTCCATTTTAATCTTGTGATCCTGCCAGTAAGTCTGTTGTTTTTCAAAAGAGAGGCTCTCTTGCAGTTACAAGGATGAAACAAACCATTTACCACTGACAACGGTGCTTACAAAGATCAGCTTTTATTTAGACTCCATTTACACTTGCACGACTCCAAAGTCGCTTTCCAGCGACCAAAAGGTCCAAAAACTCGATTTTCAGTGCTACCTTAGAGCGTGACTTTGATGCAACTCTGAGTGCAACTTTGATACAACTTTACACTCGGTGGATCAAATTTGCATCAAACGTTGCATTAAAGTAGTGCAGGTACATTTTCAAAGTCGCTGCAACTTTAAGTCATGCTGAAAAGAAATGGGCTGCAACTGCGCGGCTCTGATGTCCAAAGTCACATGACAAGTCACACAAGTGTGAATAGATACTAATTCATGTAAAACCTTTATCCCAAAAGGAAAAAAAAACTGTTACTGTAACTGATTATAAAGTGTGAGCTGGGGTTTGTCTTCAGTTTGTTAGTGTATCTAAATCTGCTAGTTCATCTAACACTCCCCTCTGCCCAGACTGACAATGCTGCTGTCCAAAGGTGCCCCCTGTGCTCCCTTATCCAGAATGGGGGCACTGTAATACAGGAGGTGTGTTACTGGCCAGATCACCAGGTGAAAAGAGGAAAAAAAGAAAACTGATGCAGCCACCACATTTATTGTTTGTTAAGTTGCAATATATTACATTTTTGGTTTGGGGTTTAATACCACTTTAAATGGCATAAACAACATAGAACATATAATAAAATAAGTAAGTGGTGCTATAGACAGTCTACCCACATACAGTATATCTGTAAACAACAGTATGGTAAAAATTGGGGAAACCTTCATTAAACCTTTAGTGTGTCCTTCACGTTGCATCATATAATGAGAAAACCTTGGCCAAATAATAAAATAAGCGGCTTACCAGACAGTATGACATATAAATCATAGGAGACCAGACTGAGCTTATGTTAGCCATGTTGTGTTATCCAGAAACTTGATCAGGTTGGCCCTACACAAGATTTACTCTCTCCATCTATATGCCCATCAGAGTAAAATCATGCAGCCACTCCTCCTCCACATCAGCTTTTCTGTTTTTAGATGGCGCCACCCTCTGACAGCAGGACGGAGAGCAGGACCACCTGATGGACATACGGGTGGATGGAATGCATTCTGTAGAGCAGCTTTATTCAACCAGGGTTCCATAGAATCCTAGAGTTCCTCCAGAGATTGCTACGGGTTCCTTGAGCAATGAGCAACCTCTCAGCCACTGATAACAATGATCCTTTTAACTATATGTAAGAGTGGAATTCTTCCCACTGATCATCAATATAAGGAACATTCTTCTCAATGATTACTAAAGTAAGAATAATTTTACCTACCGACTATCACTATGTACAGTAAGCTGTAGATTTAGTCATTATTAATGGGGGTTCCCTGAGACCAAAACGTTTTTTTCAAAGGATCCGCCAAGTTGAAAAGGTTGAGAAAGGCTGCTGTATAGGGCCAGTCCAATCATGTTTCTGGACAAATCTAATAATCTCAGTCTGACTGAGACTAAAGTCATACTGTCTGGTGTGCTGCTCAGTTCAATATTTGGTGGAGGTGCTGCTCAATTTGCTGCAATGTGAAAGACACTCCAAAGATTTAGTCATTATTAATGGGGGTTCCCTGAGACTAAAACGTTTTTTCAAAGGATCCGCCAAGTGAAAAGGTTGAGAAAGACTGCTGTATAGGGCCAGTCCAATCATGTTTCTGGACAAATCTAATAATCTCAGTCTGACTGAGACTAAAGTCATACTGTCTGGTGTGCTGCTCAGTTCAATATTTGGTGGAGGTGCTGCTCAATTTGGTGCAATGTGAAAGACACACCAAAGATTTAACCAGTTTTGAACTCCACTGTGATATACAGATATACATAATATTGCCAATAGTATTGGGACTTCTGCCTTTACACTCACATTAACTTTAGTGGCATCCTAGTCTTAGTCTGTAGGGTTCAATATTGAGTTGGCCCACTCTTTACAGCTATAACAGCTTCAACTCTTCGAAGAATGCTGTCCACAAGGTTTAGGAGTGTGTCTATGGGAATGTTTGACCATTCTTCCAGAAGCACATTTGTGAGGTCAGGCACTGATGTCAGATGAGAAGGCATGGCTTGCAGTCTCCGCTCTAATTCATCCCAAAGGAGTTTCATCGGGTTGAGATCAGGACTCTGTGTAGGACAGTCAAATTCCTCCATCCCAAACTCGCTCATCCATGTCTTTATGGACCTTGCTTTATGCACTTGTGTGCACTCATGTCGGAACAGGAAGGGGCCATCCCCAAACTGTTCCCACAAAGTTAGGAGCATAATATTGTCCAAATGTCTTGGTATGCTGATGCCTTAAGAGTTCCCTTCACTGGAACTAAGGGGCCAAGCCCAACCCCTGAAATACAACCCCACACCATAATCCCCCCTCCACCAAACTTTACACTTGGCACAATGCAGTCAGGCAAGTACCGTTCTCCAACCTAGACATGTCCATCGGATTGTCAGACAGAGAAACGTGATTCATCACTTCAGAGAACACATCTCCACTACTCTGGAGTCCAGCATGCGCTGACCCCTCTCTGTCATTTTACGTGGCCTACCACTTTGTGTCTGAGTTGCTGTTGTTCCCAGCTGCTTTCACTTTGTTATAATACCACTAACAGTTGACTGTGGAATATTTAGTAGCAAGGAAATTTCATGGATGGATTTATTGCACAGGTGACAACCTATTACGGTACCATGCTTGAATTCACTGAGCTCCTGAGAGCGACCCATTCTTTCACAAATGTTTGTAGAATCAATCTGCATGCCTAGGTGCTTGATTTTAGACAGCTGTGGCCATGGAGGTGATTGGAACACCTAAATCCAATGATTTGGAGAGGTGTCCCAATACTTTTGACAATATAGTGTTTATTGATAGACTGTCCATAGTGCCCCTTAAGAAAAATAGCTGCATCACATTCTATGGTAACTTCTTTGTGACACATGTCAAAAAGGCAAACTACAGATATCAAAAGAATTGTAGATAAGTCACCCAGCTTACCTCGAGAATGATGTTTTACAAAAGTTTGTGATATTTGAGCTACTTTTTTTTCTAACGAAGATAAGGATTTGTCCCTCAGCTTCGAGATCAGTTCCATCTTCTCATCTACGATGAAGAAGTACAATCTATTAATGATTATGTCAACAACTAGATGGTTATTCCTGTTAAAGAACTAATGTCAGAACTGCACATGTATCACAGCTTATTCAATGGAGCAGTAAAAAAAATCAACAAGAACAAAATTCAGTAAAGCTTAGCAGCCAATCAGCTGTCACTCCACTGCATACAGAAAAGCTGAGACTATTTCTAATTGGATGTGAAGGGATACTGCACTTTTCAAATTGTTGCTCTGTTGAGGTGACTTACTATCTAAAAATATGTAAACCCAACTTTTTATATTCCTTATATGTTCCTGCTGTATGATGTATTTATGAAAAAACATCCTGTTCTCTTTGTATTGCTTTTGTGAAATCCCTGGTGATCCTGCCAATCTCTTTGCATTCCTATTAAAAACTGACCACACTAAAAAGGCGAACACGCTGTGGTCAGTTCTCTAGCTGTTCTGAGAACTCAGCCTGCTCTCCTCCAAAGATCAAACTTGTCCTGACACCCCACCCCCCGCACAGCCTCTCACTGGGAAGGGAAGATCAATGTGCTGCTGTTTCTCCTCTCCTAGTTCTTAGGAAACTGAGAACAGAGGAAATATGGTCACTTATGAAAAAGAGAGGAAAGGGTATGTGTTATTCTAATGTTTTTTATATCTATACACCAATGTTTTCCCTTTCATTTCTATTTGAAACCGAATGGGTTGTTTTACAAGTTGAGTCACTTTAATTCTGGTTGTCATTGAATATCTTGCAATGAACAATCAAGCTAACAGGACTGTTGTGCCCTTCTGTGCCCCTGAGACAACAAATAAAAGAGACAACACATAAAAAAGGTCATTGGAAGATGGACTCTGTTGGACTGTTAGTGAATAACTTCCTGGAATACCAGGAATCTCACTCAGATTTCTGAATTCTGCGAATTGGAAAGTATATGGGAAAATCCACACGGTATATAGATGAAACTGACTGAATCTAATGAATGAATACCATTTTCTTTGCAGCTGGGAAGTTTTCCATAAGCAGTTTCATTTTCCATGTGTAGTAACAGGTAAAACAACACCAATGCTCTTGGACCTTTCTCATCTGCACAAGTCAGCACAGCCTCCCGTTTGCTGTGAAGATCACTTAGCTCAAGAATCTACAAATACAAAGCAAAGTATTAGTAAAGTACCATCACATAAAGCATAGGAAAGCAAACCCCTAGGTAAGGGATAGAGACTTGTTCAGTTTTTTTTACTGCTCACTGTGCCCCTTTTGGGGAGATTTACCTTCACTTCCTGCCAGAACAGGCTATGTTTAGAAATCTGTCCAGTGGGGCCACAAACAAAAATACATTTTAGGGATTTTTTTATTTAGTGGAGAATGCTAAGAACTTCTGAAAATGTTTTCATTTCTTGTATGGGTGAAACATATAGGGAATATTTCCCTAAAGAGGTCATATAATTCTGAGAAAGGTTCTAAAAAACAGTTTGACTAGGGTTGCTCTTTTAAAGATGCTGACAGATCCCATTAAAAATATATTACTTTATTCCTTGAATTGCTGTCTGTCCAATCATTCTCATATTGGTGATAAATTCCCTTTATTGATCAATAACGTTTTATTGATATTATAGCCATACAAAAAACAAAACATATAAAAAAGGGCAATTGCCCTACAGAATGTAACAGTCATAATGAGGTACAGCATTTCCAGGTATTGTAAGAGCTCCACTGTCACAGAATACACTAAATTGAGATAACTGTGACTAGGTAATACTGTACATGTATTGATATTGTTTGGTATAATTATTTTTTTATATGGCTTTATTGACATATTTTGCCATATTAACCTGGAGCCATGCTGACCATCAAAAGTGAAAGAGGTAAGGGCAAACTGTAACACTGCCATGGGATTTAAGTCCTGTGTTTTTGCAGCTGCTCAAGCAAACACTTTTGGACTGACTCACCAAACTAGTTGAGAACGTGCACTCAAAAAATTGTGTACATTTTTACTTCAATTATCCAATAATCCAAAAAGCATCTGAACATGGCTGGGTATTCAAAGTGAACTTGCTTTTTCCATTATTGGATAGATGGATTGAATATTCACACAAATTTTGAGTAATGATTCTCATCTTGAGTAAATTAGCCTCTTCAAAATTTACTTAGAGCAAGTCAATTTTATTGTAGGGACTATTCCCTATGTTGCTGGGTTTCTAATTACATTTTGTGTTTAATGTAGCTAGGCTGTTACCAGCGGGAGTTGAGTTTATATTTTAGTAAGCTCTGCTGGTTTTTCTAAACTCTGTGTGTTGATTCCTTCTAACTGTGACGGTTAAGGAGGTCCTAGTAATCATTATATTGGTCAGCCTCCAATTCTTGAAAACGCTTGTTAGAGAGAAATGCGTCGGGCGGAGCTGGACACATGACGTCATCATGCACGACAGTTGGAGAGCCATCAGAGCTCACGGTTTGAGATGCAATTGCTCTGTATTCACTCTGTACATGTATTTGCCTAAAGTGTTTCTAAAGCCTCAAGTTTTTTTTTTACCTGAATTCACTCAGGTCAAAAAACCTTCTTTGTAATATACTCCCCCTTACCCCCCTTATACTTACCTGAGCCCCATCACGCTCCAGTGATGTGCATGAGAGCTGCAGCTCTCCGGGGTTTGTCCCTTCACCCTGGGCAGATCGATAGCAGTGGGAGCCATTTGACTATTTTTTTAAAATAACAAACATGTTATACTTACCTGCTCTGTGCAATGGTTTTGCAAAGACCAGCCCCAATCCTCTTTTTCTTTGGTACCCCAACAGCACTCCTGGCCCCTCTCACCTGCCGTGGGAGCACTTATGCTTGCTGGCTCCTGAGTCAGTTCTGTGTATCTAGAGTGCAGCACCCCCCCCCCCCCCCCCCCCCCCACTCACACTCTCCCCCCACTTGCTGTGATTGACAGCAGCAGGAGCCAATGGCTCCCACTCCTGCCTCCCTATTCCATGAGGAGAGAAAGTGTACCATGCTTTATTGAGATCGTGCTCAAATAAGTGTTTGGGGGGTGGGTTTTTTTTTACCTTAATGCATAGAATGCATTAAGTAAAAAAAAAACCTACTGCCTTTAGAACCACTTTAAGCTGTTCTAATGAATCTCTGTTAGGCAACTTTAAGTATACTGTAGGTCTGCTTTAAGGTCACCAAAAAAACCATAAGGGGACTCTGCAATTGGAGCTCTAAGAGCTATGAAAATGTTGGATGGTCCAAAGGGACTGGATTTTGCAGTGGTCTGCATCAAAACAAGGTTCAATAAAATATGAGGATGTATTTTTTTTGCCAATTCATGATAGGACTGACCTTTCTGGACATGTGTCTTTCCCAGTTACATCAATCAACATTAAAGTTTATTTGTTTTTTAGATTTGATATACTGTATGTGCACAAACATAGGCTCTGTAGGTAATTCATATAGCCATATTTAATTTTTTTTTTCAAATTCTTTATTTATACAAATAAAGTATCCAATAAAGCAGTATATAGGAAAACAAAAAAGGTGTCTCAATACCGGGTAAGCTTCATAAAAAAAGGAAACTTACAGAGGGTGTACACAACATACAAAGTGCAAAATTACCAGATAAGTGTCAAATATTGTAAGCCAGTAAAGAAGGTGGTGCCATAAATTGAAAGGGTCAGCTCAATGAACAGCGTAAACCTAAAGGTAAACTGAGAAAACTCTAGGAGGCGGCTATAAACCACATTGGATAATAGGCACCTCTAAAGACTGGGATAGTAAAGACATCTCGAACTACTACCAGTATTGTTGATTATCAGGCATAATATCCGCTCAGTTGGACACCCAGGTTTCTAAGAATAGAGAATCAAAAGATTCTAGAATGTGAGAGCATACAGAGTTAGAGGGAAGAGGGGTGGGGTGGGAGTGGGAAAGGAGGAAAAATGTTGGGGCGAAGAAATATCATGCTGGAGGACAAATTAATTCAATCCCCAGAACAGGAAGACCGATTTTTTTGTAGATCTTTACAAGAAAGTGAGAGCAGTGGAGAGGAGAATGAAGGCAGGATTGTCTGGGACCAAGATATTTGTGAATAGTTGAGTGATTCTATGTACCCCCTTCCAGTAATAATCTAATTTCAACCAGGACCAGAAAATATGAAGCTGCATATCTCGTTCTTCCCGGCATCTCCAGCACTGATCCAAGGACTCAGGAAAGAAACAACACAGGACTGATGGGGTACAGTACCGACAGGTGAACATCCTGGGATTAGTCTCCTGTGTGCAAGTACATATAGAGGACTTCAGAGTAAATTGGATTAAATTCCAAAATTGGTCAGGTGTGCAGGTCCAGTTCCCGTTTGCTTAGTCAAGGTAATCTAAGGTGTTCTGGGGGGGAGAGCAACAGAGAATACATTTTCAAGAGAGTATGGGGAAGAACGCCACTGTCTAAGCAGTAGGATTCAAACATCATCAGCAGGCGGTGGAATCACATGGGGGGACCTAGAGTGGAAAGGTAAATGATGTATTTGTAGTGCCCTCCAGAAATTCAGGGCAAAAGGGCCTGGCTGGTGCATCAATGTCAAGATCGAAGGCCAAGCATCAGAAGAGAGAAAGTGGAAAGCTTGAAAGTAACCCCTTTCTATGAGCTTGCGAGCTTTATTCAATATTTAATGTCATTTTCATCT